CACAATTGGAATCAAATTTGGCAGCCGATGTACTAACACCCCATTCTTAGAGGAAAGCAGATTCGTGTTGAGAAGTAGAGATGAGATACAGTGTATTTGAAAAGGAATTGAACAAACATGCTCTCAGACAACTCAAAATCAGGTGTGAGGACTTGGTGAGATGTTGAAAGCAGGAAGACAAATAACTAGACTAGGTTCGCCGAAAAAGTAGTTCTAAACGGCAACCTCCCCAAGTCTTATTGGGCGCGCTATTACCAAAGCGGCGCAGACACGCCAACCAGATGGAAACATTGACTGGCATTCAGCTCCTGACCTGATAGGGGAGCCTATTTCAGCTCGACCGACGATTTTACTAATTTACAGTTGCAGCACTATGGCGCTGAATGATAACCTTCGAAGCCTTCCAAAGAAAAGGACGGCTCAAGTGGTCGAAGAATCTGGCTTACTGCATGTTCTGGCTGTGCTCATCGATCAGGTTTTTGACAAATCATGATAGTAACCAAACATCAAAAAATCGGCACTCGCAAAAACATCTGCCCATGAATTGACAGAGAAACGCTACTGTTCGAAATGCTGGTATAGTTACTATTGGCAGAATCAGATAAAGTGAGAAAGTTCACCTTCCCAAGCTCTTTTACTACTCTTTTGTCGGTAAGCACATTTATGAGCACGCTTCTACGTGAACTGGTTTACCTAATGTAATTACTAAACAACTCGCAAAATACCGCTCGCATTTCTTCACGGTTTATGCAGGTTTGGTTTTGGGTTCAAAGTCCTCAGGACCGGCTAATATACGATCAAACAACTTACATGTCGGCAGGAAATGGTAGTAGAAGTAAAGTAGGGAGCATAATATTCAAAGGAAGGGGTGTGCTTTAAATATTTATCAGCCTTGCATAGAAAAACGACCTTTTTCGCCTACATCGTTCAATCTTGACAAGTCTATATCGGAGGTATATCGAAAAGGTGGCCAAAGTCCATATCCGGGCGATATACCTATCTCGACATGTCAATATCGACGCAACATCTGGTCGATATCGACATGCAGATGTTATAACATCTGAAAATACGAGTAGAAACAGAAATTAATGGCGCTTATATATTGATTTATGGGGAAAAATTGCCCCTCTAAAAATGCAAAAATATAATACTACTTAAACAGGTGACAAATACGGACCAATTTTATCCAAAATGGCTTAAGTCATTTTTGGTCGATTTACAAAATGAACGAGCCCGCAAGGCAGACGTTCGTCAGTATATTCGGAGTAAAGATGGCACTCCAGTGCTGGAACTTTAGTAGCAATAGATATCGTGAAGATACACGTGAATGGAGATTTATCGAGATATGTATGTCCGTCACGTTTCTTAAGAAACGTGCGATCAAAACCCTGCGTGTCTACAACTATCGCGCAAACTTTCAGTTTTATGTCCTTAGGACCGCTTTGGGTATTTCTGACAACTGTGATTTTATTTTTAAACGAGGCAAAGCATCTCGAATATAATCAGAAACTTAGAGAAGCTGAATACCCCAGATGACAGGAGAGTCGCAGATGGCGCGGCTCCAAAGAACTAATTAAAAGCGCTGCAGTCTACGCAGCACCGTAAGCATTTATTAAGTTGCACATTCCGGACTTCAAAATTCAAGCGAAAAATGACTTTTCTCAAAATTTTGGAAGGCCAGAAGTTCTGTATGCCCTTCTAAGGATGCGCACAGGTATGAAACTCGATGTAGGTATAATCCCGCAAACTACACAAATGACTACGTTCTATGCAGATTGTATATAATAGCACTTATAATCTCGAATGTACATAGAAAGGACCTTCTGCCGTAACCTCCGCAGTTCCACACTGTAGAAAGAATCTCCGTTGGCGTATATGTTACTGGTAAATTTTGGTAAATGTCTGTTTAAAAGGAACATTGTATGTACCGTTTTCAATAGGGTCGCCAAGCGCATTGCCTATTACCCTAAATATAGGATACTATACTATTCTAAAAATCATATGTTTTGTCGTTGGTGAAGATAGTAGGATCGTAATAAGGCGATACAATCATCATGCTAAGTCGTGGTTGCAATAATAAAAATGAAGAACTAGTATGAGGTCATCATTGGTTGCAGAACTCCAAATCACTCCCTAAGCGACAATAAACTTTGTCAGTGCCAGAACGCGTGTTTGCATTGTTTATTCACGTCCGAGAACAAGAAAAAGTCACCTCGGTTACTTTTATAAATGGGGAAGCAATTTCAAGCATCCTTTGTACAAGTAGCGTTTGCCGCTTTAGCCGAGAGATCACATGATCCAGTGAGCCATAAATGGTAGCGGCCGTCATAATGCGCGCGATCTCGCAGTTTGTGATCGGTTAAACTTTAAGGTCAGCATTTTCTGAACCGCTCATCACGACGATGAATGACCACACCACAGAAAAACACTGAATAATGTCACCGGGCATCGCAAAGATGACTGTCGACTGTCATCAAGTTCATCCCGGACTTCATTTAGGGCTGAAGTCTTTCTCTAATAATTTGCAGGTATGTGCTAAGCCAACATCATGCTTACGGTTTCACTGCTTGATATCAAACAACGTGATAGTAGTTCGGTGTACTTGCCGGTTAGAGGCCTATATGGGCTTGATGTCCCAAAATTCTACACGCATTACTTTAATAAGGAAAGATGGAGAATGCCTGGTTACAAGGTTGGGCCTGTAGGAATGCAGAACCGTGCATGTCAAATTAAACAGAAGGATAAAAAATATACTTACATAAGTTCGACTTTTAATCTTCTAAATTACCACTGTGTGGAAACTCACGGGCCCCGCACGTCTATTGGGCAAAAAATCCGATGAATGCTTAAGACGACGAATCATCCGGTGCATACAGTTAGGAGTTCTACATTAGCAACCATTACCCCGTTTACAACCATTGACGAAGGCGAAGATGCCAACAAAGAATTTTTATGATCGTTATATGTTGATAGTCCGCATCATTCCTTATTTTGAAGGAGCATATTCATATGCGACTAGACCCGTTGACATAGTTTTACGCTGTAGCGGCCCGCCTTCACGGTCGCCAGCGCCACTACTTACGAATGCCGTTTCCGATCATCCTACAGGTGTTGCGCAACCTCCAATATGCGACGCCGTGACAGTGTTCGCTAATTTTCTCCACTAACTGATGGCAGCGTAACAAAGTTTGGACTCACGCATGTAGTCTTATGCTTTTTTGGTGATGGGACTGCAGCTACTTGCATTGTTATTCGTACACCCTCCATCTGAGTAAAGGTTTGTCCACATACCTGTGTACCCTGTCTTCCGATCTGTGAATCTCCAAGTTGCCGAATCTCATGCTTTAACAATATAATAGTGGCATCACTTTTTTGTAAATTAAATTAGACTGTATTCACAAAGTTATCTGCATTACCCACTAAATCAATTGACATATAACCCATGAGCTACTATTTTGGGCCTCCAGAAATTCCATAGAAGACGCAACTGGAAAGGACTATTTAACCTACGTGGTATTAAGTCATGGATGAACTCGGAAAAGTTGACTGACTTCTGGCAGTAGAAGAAAATTCCTTACAAAAAGCAAATTACACGTGCTCCTGTAAAAAAAGTCTGTATCTGCGCCGTTCGATTTTGAGAATGGGCAACGTTCTACGGGGAGCATGATTTCCCAGCTGCAGTTTATACGGTCTGAATGGCGTTGCACTGTAAGCAGTTGACGTTGAGAAAGACATGAATGTGTACCTTACGACTTCATTTATATCCTCGCTGCGTTGCTCAGAAACAGTCAAGTTCGAGAGGTCAGTCGTATACCGTGACAGTGGGGCTTTCTCTTCCTTTGATGAAGACTGCTTCGCCAAAGTTTCAAACGTTTCTGCGGGTACTACTGAACCTTACTATTTAAGCCTCGAGACTCCGGACAGTTGAGAACTACAGCATCCTCGAATAGCTTGTACCCAAATAGTAACCGAGCAGAGATCACCAGCGTAGGAAACACGATTATCCAACCTCAACCTCTTCGCCTTGAGTGAGAGACAGCAACGATGAGACCCGATACAAACATTCTGCACTATGTGCAATCAGCACTGTTATCTTAAGACTGTCCTGTAGACTTGTTTGAATTAGTAACCACAATGTCCTCGCGAGGACGTCCACTCAAATGTAACGTGAATTAGGCTACAGTGGG